TATCTTGTTGAGAGGCTAGTTTTAAAGAGCTCATGCTATATTAGATATTGCCAACATGGGGGTGTTGATACTGAGGAATTGGAGCTAGAAGGGGCACAGGGTAAGGCAAAGTGGTCACGGGGGGTGGCATTGAGATCCTTTCACTTGCAAAGGCCAGCAGAAAGCTATGAGTGGTCTTGCAAAGCAAAGCCACTTTTCCGTTTCTATAACCCAGCGGTTTCCAAACTTCACGTCATGTTTTGGGCCTCATCTCTCAGAAATCCTGACTGCTGGCCAAGCTGGGAGCTGAAGTCCAAAATACCTGGAGGACCAAAGTTTGGGACTCACTGCTAACAACCACTAGGCTTCACTGTCTCAGGAAAGGAAGCCTCCATTTTTGGATGGGAGTGCTTTCCTCTCCTTCTTCTCCCCAAAACACATGGCAGATGCTTTCTCTACTGGAGCACCGACTCCTGCGTAAACTTCCGACGGAGGGATGGGTTGACCATTGGATAGAGGGAGACGATGGAAGGTCGTTGCTTGAAACTGGGGTAGATGCGCTTCAGGACTGCCCGGCGGAAAAGGATGTAGACCCAAGGGTCAAGGATTTGGTTCCAAGTGGCCACCCGGAGGTAGATGAGCAGCAGCTTCTCCGTGTCATGAGGAATCTGGTTGGGCTCTAATCCAGGAGAGGGTTCCTGAAGAGCCGTCTGGACAATGAGTATCTGGAGCAAAACCAAGGATCAGAGAGAACTGTTATCGCTGTTGGACGGAATTCACCCTATAAGTAAGGTAGCGTGGTGTCGTGGTTTGAGAATTGGACTAGAACTCTGGAGGGCAGGGTTCGAATCCCACTGGGTGTGACTTTCCAAAGGTCACCCAGTGGGTTTCCATGCCCAAGCAGGGAATCGAACCCTGGTCTCAATCCAGCACTCAAACCACTATGCCATGCTGGCTCTAGGCAGTTCACTGCAGTTTATTTGTTTGTGTTTTACCTTAATTATATGGAATTGTGATGGCTTATAGCTTTTAGCAATAATTCACTAAAACTCAGAATGACTTGAAGGCATACAACAACAGCAACAACAACAACAACAACAACTGAGGTATGTCTGTACGGTGCTCCCTCCACATTCGCTGGGGTTAGGATTGAAGGAACCCCGTGAATGTGGAAAAACTGCAAATAAAAAAAATCCCACTATTTTTTTTAGCTAAGAGAACACCTCTCTAGGAATCTCCAAGTCCTCCGATGCCACTCTATGGTCAACATCTGCCAGAGGTTGATCATGCGGGAGGACCTACACATGTCTAGAGAAGTTTCTTCTCTAGATATGTCTCTAGGTTCTCCAGCACAACTCTATGGTCAACTTCTGGCAGAATTGCGCTGGAGGACTTAGCGATTCCTAGAGAGAACAATATTAATCAAAACCGCAAATAGTCAAATTTGCCAAAGTGAAATCCGTGAAGGTGGAGGGCCAACTGTTATTCATTTTGAGAAAAGAGATGCAATTAAGCAACTCACCAGTAAAGGGAGCCAGCACACGCTCGCGATGACCATGATGCCCACCAGTTGGACCATCATCTCCACCTCGCTGTCCCTCCGGCGCTGGACGGACTCAGAATCATGGTAGACCCGGCAAAGGGTCACCACGCTGACCGTGTTGAGGAGGAAAGAGAGGCCCACGCAGAAGAGGCCCAGGAAGGCGAAAAGGAGGCAGAAGGCCACGTTCCTAACATCATGGACCAACGTGAGGAAACACCAAGAGTTGGGGTACTGGAGGCTATAGTCCCCCAGGCCCAAGATGGGCAAGAGTCCCAAGAGGAACCCCAAGGCCCATACCACACCAACCAAGGCCCATGCCCGGCGTTTAGACATGCTGGTGGATCGAGAGAAGGGCCGGTTGATGCCCAGGAAGCGTTCTCCAGCCATGGTGGCCCCCAACAGGAGAGGACATTGCCCAAAGAAGACCATGACCAGGCCCATGAACTTGCAGAGGTGGCATCCGGGGTCGACCCGGCGCCAGTCGAAGCGGAGGAAGTGGTAAGGGATGACGATGGAGAAGGTCAAGAGGAGGCCCAAGAAATCGGTCACCACCAGACCGCAGAGGAAGACCAAGAAGGAGGAACGGGAACGGCTGTGCATCTTCCGGGAGGAGCTGACCAAGACGCAGAAGGCGAAGAGGTTGGAGCAGAGGCCGATGAGGCCAAAGGTGGTGGAGAACCACGGTGAGGCAATGGAGCCCCGGGAGTCCTCCGTGACGTTGACCCCCCGGAAGCAGGAACCAAGGCTGTACGCAGGACTAAAGTTCCCATTGTCCATGGCCAGGGATGGTGGGGTCCCGTCCCACATCCTTTGTCCGTGGGATGGCTGCCACCGCAATGTCCCTCAGCACAACCACGTGTGGCAAAACCTGGAGCACTCGTCTCTCAAAGCGGAGAAATCACCCTTCAAAGGCTTCATCTTGTCCATCTTGGAAGTTGCAGATTCAAGGCAGGTTGCTGCAAAGAACTGAGACACTGAGAGAAAGAGGGATGGATAATGAATACTGAGTTTCTGAGTATTGCACACTTTCAAAAATGAAATCATTCAACAACTATTCTGATATATATATACATCATACTCTCCAACTGTCCCAATTTAGCAATTAGACCTCTGCCGTCCCACTTTTTCAGTGCTTTTAAAATGTCCTGGTTTCTCACTCCTCCTTCCACCTTCCTCCTCTGCTCACTTCACTTGATGCATGAATTCTTTATTCTACTTTTTAGCATGGAACCTTACATTCTGTTCAGGTTGGAGAAGGAAAAGGGGGAAATGGAGGTTACGTACCCTCCAAATGTCCCGGTATGGCAAGGGCAGTCCTCCGCAGTCCCACTTTGCCAGCTGCTTTTAAACTGTCCCAGCTTCTCTCTCCTCCTATTTTGTCCCTACTGTACTTCCATATACTAGATCTTTGGTTCCCAAACTTTGGATCCTCCCAACGTCTTAGACTTTGTCTCTCAGAATGCCAAAGTTTGGGAACCGCTGTATTAGATGAGATAGACTCAGCTGAGGAATCCATGGATCAGAGTCTACAAGATCTGAGCAGAGCAACTGAGGATCAAGAAACTCGGAGACATCTCATCCGTGAATAGCAGCGGACTCAAGAACATTTAACAACAACAACACAGCTCTAGCCGGAGAAACAAATGGAGTAATGGGATGGAGATCATGTCTACAGACACTGGTTTGGAGTTGGGGGAAAATGGAGTCTGAATTTCAAAAATAAATGCCTTGAGCCAGCTGATCCGTCTCAGCTGTCTACCCCATGGTGGTCGAGTTGAACCCTTGCCAGTGCCAATTCTGGTTAATTCTCCCAAGGGCAAGGTCAGCCTGCCCCATGAGACTGAGATGAGGAGAACAAGATTCGATGACATCTCTTCTCTCCCAGATCAGACAAACAGCTGTATTGCATTACTCTCCAAACATAAATCAAGTTCTCATAAATCCAAAGGCGTAAGAAAGAAGGAATGCCCGTCTTTGCGGAAACTGATGCAAGAGGAAGAGTAAAAGGAGTTGCTACCAGACACCAGTACAGACCAGGCCCTTTGGAAGGGAGCGTATCATTAAAGCCCTGACCAAGAAACAGAAGCAGCTGTACAAGCCTGATCTTGGGATTTAAAGGATGTTTGCACTTGGATCAAGTACCAAAAAGTTTGGCTTTGCAGGACTAAAATGTGCAAGCCCCAAAAGTGTGTTAGAAACTCAAGCAACAGCAAGTACTAGGGCTGCATCTACGTTGCAGAATTAACACAGTTTGGCACCACTTTAGCTCCCCTGGCTCCATGGGATTTGTAGTTTGGTAAGCTACTTAGTCCTCTTTGTCGGACAATGCTGGTGCCACAGCAAGCTACAAATCCCAGGTGGAGCCATGGCAACTTGAGTGGTGTTAACTTAATTCTGTAGTGTGGCAGCAGGCTTATTTAAATGGAGTTTTATGAAATCTTGCCAAATCTAGTGGGTCCTTGGCATCTACCAAGGTTTGGTTCCTGGACCCCACAATGGATCGCCAAATCTGTGGATGTTCAAGTCCTAGTAAATGCAATTGTAAAGTAAAATGATGTCCCATATATATATATATATATATATATATATATATATATATATATGAATATTTTCAAGCATCAAGAAGGCTCTCTCCGACAGAAAGTCCTCCCCTGCAAAGTGTAGTGGTCTGAGCACTGGACTACAGCTCTGGAGACCAGGGTTCGAATCCACGCTCAACCGCAGAAACCCAGTGGGTGACTTTGGGTGAGTCACACTCTCTCAGCCTCAGAGGAAGGCCAAGGCAAACCCCTCTCTGAACAAATCCTGCTAGGAAAAAAAAGACTTCAATAGGGTCACTGTAAGTTGGAATTGACTTGAAGGTGCACCATAAGAAGAAGAAGAAGAGTTCAGTATACTGTCTTTCATCAGGATGGGAGACCCATATCTGGGACTTTCAGAAGTCTGGCAAGAGATCTTAACAAGACAGATAATGATTCATGGAACGAAATAGCTCCATGAGGGTTCCAGAGAACTGCCACCACATTAATCCTGTCCCATCGGTCCGATGGCTGCGATCCCAGGATGGCCCACAGCCCCCAAAAAGTCCGGGAATAGGACATTGCCTTTTTAGCATCTGCAAATGCCACATGTGTTTTGCAGCTGGGAAAGGCAAGGCATGCCAGAGGGATGCAGAGAGAAGACCCATCCTGGGCTTGGAAATTTACTTTATAACCCTCAACGTGCCAGAATAAACAAAACTCAAATGGCGAGAGGTTACGGGGGTATTTTTGGACAAAAGAGGACCAATTTGTTTGGGTAAGATTGAAGGAGGTTCCACCCAAACTCATCTTGTTGCATGCCTTCAAGTTGTTTCCGACTTACGGCGACACTAAAGCGAACCGATCCTAGGATTTTCTTGGCCAGGTTTCTTCAGAGAAGGTTTGCCATTGCCATCCCCTGAGGCTGAGAGAGTGTGACCGGCTCCAGTGGGTTTCCATGGCCAAGCAGGGATTCGAACCCTGGTCTCCCCAGTGTCCTAGTCCAAGGCTCAAACCATTATGCCACAGTGGCCCAGCCTCACTCAAACTCATATCTTTCAACATTTCAGATAGGAAAACCGAAGCAGATGTGGCCAAGCAACATCAGAGCTGGGTCAAGATGGGGAAGAATATTAAGGAGGAAGAAAAGGCAAGATAGGTGAGGCTGCAGCAGTTTGCTTTTGCCTGAGCTTATTGGAAAGGGTAAGATTCAACCCCCTCTTTTGCTTTTCCACTGAGTCCCTAATTCTGAATTTCCTTCATTGACAGTAGGTTGGATTAAATGACCTTTTAGGTTCCTCCAGACTTTCCAATCCTGTTCCGCACAAGTCATAACTGAGCCTTGATGCTGTTAAACCAAGTATGGGGATCCTGTGTCTCTTATTTTCTTCTTCTTCGATTATTATTATTATTATTATTATTATTATTATTATTATTATTAT